CGGGGCTGTTAGGTTAGTTCTCCTTCTCGTAAAGGAGATTATCTCTGTTTTGTCAGGGTTAATTGTGAGCCCCTCTTTGGAGCACCACCCCTCAATAAAGCTAACGGCTGTCTGGGTGAGGTTGTTCACTGTGGCTGCGTGTTTTCCTCTAACAGTCAGCACTAGGTCGTCTGCAAAGGCTTGGAGGTCTATGTCTCTCCTTTCCTCTCAGTAGATCGTCCACCACAAGAGCCCACAGCAGGGGTGAGATTACACCTCCTTGAGGGCATCCCTGTCGAGCTATGATAGCTGTCGAGTAGCCTCCCAATTCTGCCGTCACCACCCTGCTCTTGAGCAGGGCGTTTATCCAAGCTGCTACGTCGGGGGAGATGCCCCTGCTTCTGACTGCAGCCTCTATAGAGTTATAACTCACGTTGTCAAAGGCACCCTGTATGTCCATGAAGACCCCTGCCAGAATTTCCTGGTGTTCTAGGGTTTCCTCGACCTTTGCCACTAGGGTGCTTAGGGCCGTCGTTGTTGATTTGCCCTTCATGAACGCATGTTGGCTCACACTTAGAGGGTTGATATCTAAGTATGCATCCCTAATGTGGCGGTTTATCACTTTTTCCATAGTCTTTAACATGAAAGACGACAGGCAAATTGGCCTGTAGGATTTAGGCTGGGCCTGGTCTCTACCTTTTTTCAGTAGAAACGCCACCCTTGATTTCCTCCAACAAATTGGGATGTAACCTAGGGCAAAGCTGCCCCTGAACAAAGCCATCATATGATTTAAAAGGACCTCTAGTCCTTCTTGGATGAGAGCTGGGAATATTCCGTCCCCGCCTGGAGACTTGAAAGGGCTGAATGATTCAACAGCCCACTTCACAACCTCCGGCTTGAACAGCTTGCTCGAAAATCTTCTAGCCAATGCAAGGTCTCTGGGTGATTTCCTATTCCAGGGTATCATGTGTTGTCCTGTTGAGTTGCCTAGTGGGGTGTTCCCTGGAAAGTGGGTGTTCATAAGGACTTCAAGAGTCTCCTCCATTCCTATTGTGTGACTCCCATCCTCCCGTTTTAATGTACCAAGCGGGTTAGGCACATCTCTCTGAAGGGCTTTTTGCAGTCTAGCTGCTTCTGGTAGGTTTTGAATCCCCTCACAGAACTGCCTCCAGGACTTCCTTTTGCTTTTCCTTATCTCTGAGTTGTCCGTTAGGGCTCTTGAGTAGTTAGCCCAATTCCTAGTTCTTTTGGTGGTGTTAAAGAGTTTACAGAGTTTACATCTCATCTTGTTTAGCTTCTCATTCCACCAGGGCACGTTTCTTGTTGTCCTTTTGGTTTTGAGAGGACAATTTTCCTCGTAGGCATTTAGCATTGACCTGTTTAACAGTTCTGCCTTCATGTCAAGGCCGTCAATGGTCATGAGTTGGGTCACCTTATCTTCAACTTCATCCCTGAGGGATTCCTTGTATCCCACCCAGTCTGTTGTTTTAGGAGCCCTATAAGTCAAAGCGCTTTTGACGCTTGCTATTAAGTCAAACCTAATATGGCTGTGATCAGATAGAGAGGCTTACTCAGAGACGTGCCATCCTTTTGTTTTCAGATGTCCAAGGTTTAACGATAGGGTGAGGTCCAAAATTTCCTCTCTTATTCTATTTCTGAAGGTTGGTTCATTACCTATATTTTCTATCTGTAAGTCAACCTTAAATATAAATTCCTGGAGATCCTTACCTCTTTCATTAGTGTCCGAACTCCCCCAGATGGTGTGGTGAGCATTTGCGTCACAGCCGAGGATTAGGGGAATCCTCTTTGCTTCTAGCATACTCCACCAACTGCACTACCGCCCCCGGAGGACAAGTTTCTCCTGGGTTGGGGAAGTAGGCTGAGGCAACTAAAGCTTTTTGCCTCCCTGCAGTGGAGTCGAAATCGACTTGGATTGTTACCAAGTCACGGCTGATGAATTCTGTAACAGCTAAGCATACGTTGTTAGGGTTCATAAGGATGCAGGCCCTAGGGTTAGCAGATCCCCTATCGTATACCAGCTTACCCACTTGGGTTGGAAGTCCTCGAATCGTTCCTCCTCCTACCCAGGGTTCTTGAAGGAGGGCAAAGTCGAGCCCTTCGGTGGCAAACCTCCTGCCCAGGGCTGCTGAAGCACCTTTGGCATGGTGGAGGTTGGCCTGTATGAATCGGGACTTCATTCCCGTTTCCTGTCTGAGGGGTCACTCTTACCCCTCCTGTCACGGTGATAGGACTCCCTTCTGTCCCCTTGTCTAGGGTAGCTGCTCCTTGGCCGGTACTGCTCTTGTCGTTGAGGGCCCCCTGTGCCTCTCCTCTCTCCTTTCCTGGGAGTTTCTCCTGTCGAAGATAGGGAAATGCCGGGAGTCTTGGCTTCTCCTTTCTTCGCCCCTCCTTGACTCCACTGACCTCACCGTGGAAGTGGTTGTTGAGGGTGGTGTGTTTTTCTTTGCTCCCAGGGTGGCGGTTGGTGGTTGCACTGTCGGAGCATTTGGTGTCTGCGCTGGCGGAGCGGTTGGTGGCTGCGCTGGAAGGACGGTGCTTATTTACAAGCATTTACAAGTAATTTACAAGTTTAATAAGCAAAGCACTACAAAAAAACATTGATAATTATTCAATACAATAGCAACAGATAATAAAGAGAATACTCAAAGATAACATAATTATTTACAGCATTATACTACATGATTAAAAACACAGGTAGCTGAACAGATGACATCAATAATAGAGTAGGAGAAGTGTGTTTGGAGGTAAAGTGAGGAGACCATGCCCTCACAGACACTGGTGTAGCCCTTTAACGCAGCTACCAAAAGATAACAATCACTACATTACTTACTCTTACTCCCAGGGCCATGCATATTTAAGAAGATATTTGGCCGCACCAACAAAGCCTCTCCATCTTGCTCTATCTAACAATCACTACATTATATTGAAAAAAAACTATGAAAAGTGAGGAGACCATGCCCCCACTACAAAAAAAACAACACTCAGATGTGGCCCTTTAACGCAGCCCCCAAACACCCGGCACTATACAGAAGCTCAATTCCACCACCAACAGACCTAGCCACTTCGTACTTTAAGAAGACTTTCCATCTATCACTGCTCCAAGTAGAGGACTGAGCGTCTAAACGTACCCAAGAAGGAGTCCGAGAAGAAATCCACCAGATTGCAGACCACGTTACCAGCTCTCGGCATTCAAGGAATAGGACTATGACGAAGGTAGTTAGTGCTTCTGAGTTTCAGCTCAAAAAGGCATTGTGCTCTGGTTGGTGAAGGGGTCCTGAAGTTGACCCCTTCAAGTTGATTGTAGGTACGCACATTTCACCAGCACTAGATTGCCCAGGATTTATGCGTGTGACGGTGCAATTCCTCGGATAGCTAATCAATCTTATTGAGTAAGTCCTGGGTTAGTAATAATATTAATAGTATTAAGTTGAGTTTAAATATTTAGGCTCAGATGTGGTCGTTAAAGCATCAGCTTTCAATAAATGACACATTCATCACTGCCCGATTTAAACATTAATTTTAAAAAAATTGTAAATTTAGACTCACAGAATTAACAGTGTTAATTATGTGAGTGAAACACTGGTCATAACTAACTGAAATTGTTAACTTTGAAAATAAAACAAATCTTTACTTAATGGGTATACCGTGTTTCACTTTTAGAATTAAAACCAATGACGCTTAAAATAAACCGAAGCGATTATTGCGGGTCCACGGGCTATTTCGCCCTGGCCTAACACCTAATATTCGACAGAGTTATTTCACCACTGGTTTATTTACCGGACTATTCCGCCCTAGACCTATGGTTTCGCGATGTATACGGATCCAAGAGCTACTCTACCCTTGGCATAACACATAGTGTTCGACGCTACCAGAGTTGTTCCACCACTGGTTCAATTACCGGGCTATTCCGCCCTTGCCCTAGGGTTTCGCGATGTACTCCACTCCACTAACCAGTGAAAGATGTTGCTAGCTATCCGCCCAGCGCTCGAATCCGACTGTTCCCTGTCCTGCGCAGCTTTTATAGGGGTCACGACGCTAGCGCAGTGCGTAACCGCTCAGGGAACTATTTATCTTGCGCGGGACATTTAAAATCGTATGAACGCTTGTTTTCTGATAACGTAATATTTTTACCATTACACCCCCTCTTTATTCGGGGCAAAACAAATTCACAAAAAAATTATAACGGTTGAAGCCATCTTTTCACGTTAACTGAAAGGTAAACTAAAATTTTAAAAAAATTCTTTTTATGTCAAAGACGCTTTCTCCAACATCAAATAGGTAGAACAACTATTAATCGTCATGCCATTCTAGAAAAGGCCTAATATACTTAACGTGAAATATTTGTTTGCGACTGCTATTTGGGGGTTTTACTTCGTACCGACCCATGATAATAAAAGGGTAATTCATATTTTGGCACCAATTGACTCCCAATAGCTTCGGTTTTTGATGAGACTTATGACGTATGATTGCATTGCACAACAACTCAAGACATTTATATTTGTAATGGGTCTGTTTCTTGGGTATGGCTATTATTAAGTACAAAAAACTAGTCTCACAATCTCATTATTCTACTGTATACTGTAATTCGAAAAAGCTGTAACTAAAACCTAAGCTAATCAGCAGAAATCATGTTGTAAACAAATAGCAACGATTATGTAAAATTTATTTACGCGTGCTATCACCACAAGTACCAGGCACTGAAATTTATTCTGTCTAATAATTAACACAAACTCCCCCCTAAATTCTGAATTTTCTTACCCCTCCCCCAAAAATGTCATTGGCGCACTGTGCACGGTTTGCAATAACATGTGATAAGGGTTAAAATAAATTCTAGGGGATTTGGAAATGACACTTGTTATCAAGGGTGACTCGTTATCTAGGTTCCACCGTATCAAGGAATTCATTATATCGAGGCTCGTTAAATCAAGGTATTTACACAAATTTATAGTTTTTGTTACATTAAATAATAGTTTAAAATTAAAGTTGTTTTTATTTTTCAGAGGAATCATGTTAAGAGGGAAGAGATTGCCCGAGGAGTGAGTACTCTAAACAGCATTGAAGACAAAAATGTCTTTAAGACGAAGGATCAAGATTTGCTGACACTCCCAATTGCAGAAGGAAAGTCGGCTATTGTAAGTTGCCTGTAAAACACAAAACTTTAGTTATTGAATTTCTACATAATCCCTTAATCACCACCTTTCAGAACTACCAGGAGAATTTAATTCTCCTATTCAGAGCTACCTCAAGCTGTTAATTTTTATTTACTTTATTTCTAAATTTTTGGCAAAGATTTAGAGTCTTTTGGTATTCTGAGCCGACCTTGGGTGGTACAGGGCAAAGTGCAAACATTAAGAGCGGGCCCCTTTCTACCAAAAAAGTAGTTTCCCAACAATATTAACAAAAATCTCAATCTGTAATGTTAGTATTTTTTACTCCCCCCTTTTGTTCCTTTTATAACTGATATAATTGGCTTAAAATACACTGACTTTTTAGAACTTTTTGTATATTTCACCAAGTCCGGGTCCTTCCGAGGTGCTGGGCCTAAGGCCAGCTCTGTTGGTAATAAAACAACCAAAACATATTTTTATTGATGGCTTTTCTACTTTAGGTGGTTTAATTTAACAAATTAAATTAGGTGTGATTGGTAAACTAGTAAGTAACAGAAGCAAACGGCCATTATAGTTTAGAGGTTATAAATCTATATAATACGCATGTTCTACGCACGTTTCATTAAGAATTACGCGACCATCACCATTCCTCTAAATCATTTGAAGAAGAAAGGATTTCCCTTTGTGTTCGGCCCCGATCAGGTCAGGCTTTTGAGACCCTCAAGAGGGCTTTAGTCTCTTCCTCAATACTGCCAGATTTCACAAGAGATTTTGTTGTTCACACCGGCGCTAGCGCCTCAGCCATTGGGGCCGTATTGCTGCAAACCCACGGAGACCAGTTGTTTCTAGTCTCGTACACATCTAGGGCTTTAAACAAGCACGAATTAAATTATTCCACCTTGCAATAGTTTTTGCATTGCAAAAATATCAGCAGTACCTGGAACACTGAGAGTTTGAGCTTCACTCAGACTGTTCAGCCCTCTGGCTTCTCAACCACCCACGCCAGATGGGTAAGATTGCCCGTTGGTTCTCCTTCATAAATTCATTCAAGTTCAAGATCTACCATATCCGCAGAAGGGACAATGTTATCGCCGATGCCCTTTCTCGCCTATATGAAAACTCTGAACCAACTGAAATTTCACCCCCCACTCCTCAACCACCAACCACATTATCCCTTTCCGCTCTTTCCGAGGTTTTCAAGGACATAGCCGACCATTAACTCGATGATCCTGACCTCAGGAAGATCATCAGGTCCACCAATAAACCCCAAAATTATTCAGTCAAAAACAATATCCTGCTTCACCGTCAACCAAATCAAACCAAACCAAGGGGTGGTGGTTCCATCCAAGCTTCTTGACCTCATTTTCAAATACTACCATGAATCTCCCACTTCAGCGCATTTGGGCATAAACAAAACCTTGTCACGCATCGAACCCTTTTTCTGGTCTCCCGACCTCAAGGCTTACGTCACTAACAGGGTACGAGCTTGCGTTAGCTGTCAGAGGTGCAAACAAGCCCCTAACACCAAGGTTGGAAGGCTCGCTTCTGAGACGTTACCAAGCCTTGGGAGAAAATGTTCATTGACCACATTGGACCCCTTCCATTGTCCGTCAACCGCAACAGATACTTCCTCACCATAGTAGACTCCTTTTCAAAATTTTTTTTTATGTAAGAATCACTTCCCTGCGGGTGTGTACATTTTATGTTCTATTTTTTTAATATTTACCCCGCAGGAAAGGGCTCAGTAGATGCACCTTCTGTGGCGACCTTGATATCAGTCGAGTGAAGGAAGGCAACCTCTTGCTCTTTTTCTTTCCTACCCCCCTCCACTTTTCCTTCCATTTCCCTTTAGCTTATTTGGTCACTAGTGGTAGCAGTAGTTAGCTCTTAGGAAAACTAGTATAGTTAAGCAGCAAAAGAAATTAAATTTGGTTTTCTTCAAAACAACTCAAAAAATTGTTACTAACCAAACAGAAGTCGCAACACGGACCTCAATAGATTCCGCGGTTTTTGATCGTAGCAAGCGACGGCAATCCTTTTTTCTCGTTCTAAAGTTGCATGCATAAAAAAATGTAATGACAGTTTTGTACCTTTTCCACCTTCCAAACCAAAACACACTTACAAAATCAGAAAAAGCTCTCGCGACCCTCACCAGTCTGACCTTGGTTCACCACGCCACTGTGAGTCATAAACTCTCGGTTTCCCAAACAGATTCAGACCAACCCCGTCAGTGATCAGACCACCGCCTTGCCCATTGACCTTTCACCCCTTCATTTGAACGACAGTCTTCCTTTCAACTTTTTCTCTTTTACATCAGTCAAATCACAACTTTACGCCTTACAGTAACTTGTCCCAATTCAAAACTCCATACAATTGTAAATTTAAAATTCCCATGTTATTCTTTTTTTTTCCAAAAAATACAAATTTACAACACACATACAATTTCAAGCCACAAAAGCCAATATGGCTTGTCTGCAGCAATTATTCTAATTTTTTTATTTCACAGTGCTTTTTTTATTCAATCAGTCTTTGTTATTCAATCAGTCTTTTGTTTCCCTTGTTTTTCTGTAAGAATTCAATAATATACCAAACTAATCATAGAATTTAAAGTAGTCAGATTTTAACAATTATTAATAAACAATGAAAAAAGTAACAGTAATAAACGGATTTAAAACTATTAAAAAGTAACAATAATAAACATTTGGAACAGTGAACAGTGATTAATCTATTAAAAAGTAACATTAATAAACATTTGGAACAGTGAACAACAATGATAAAATATGAAACACAGTTATCTTTAACTCAGATCTAGATATAAATTCTTTTACCTAACCCGCCATGTTAAACTTCCCTATCCCAAGCGTGATGTATACAACTTCCTTACTTCTCGAGTGATGTAAAGTAGAAAAAAACTCACTCGGTGATGTAATGAAACCCATTTAAATAACATTGAGTGCTTAACGTAAAAAAATATACCTCTATGGAGGCATCGACGTTCAACGCTAGAAATCAGCTGTGCCTTGAATGTTATTGTTATGCTTTAAAGTATTTTCGTAACCTAGCTTTTGTTTGTAAAAGAACGTTACTGTTAGACGATGAGTGAAATAGATAATGAAAAATATTGTACGTAAACCCATGTATATTGTCGGGTCAGGTAAAATCTTGTACGTTACACGTTGCGCAAGAGCGTGTTTACATCTCTTAGGTGAATTATGCAACGAGCGGACCTGCGTGATGTAAAAACTAGGGATGGTCAAGTCTCGAAATTTTGTGAAATTTTCGGGAAATTTTAAATCTTGTTACACGAGACGAGATTTCTTTTTGGCCGATATTTTTACGGAGACGAGAATCAAAAAAAAAAAAAATTAAAAACGCCTGCAGAAAGTCAATGCAATACCCGCAATACAGGAGCGTGTTGTAGTTGCGTTTCTTTTGCGAAGGCGTTCTTATTTAATTAATTCTTTTAATGTAAATATTACTTTACAGTAATTATTTTTATAATATTTAGCTTGGATTAAATAAATAAATATAGGATGGAGAGGACACAGCTAACTCACCTGATGAAAGGTTGCAGATGAGTCAAAGAACACATAAAATCACACACATAATTTACTTAATATTTCGCCTCTTTCAGAGGCTTCTTCAGAAGTAGGCCTAGATGGTAGTTACAAAACAACAGTTTAAATAGGATGACACAGTTTGAATTCAAAATGTCTGACAGGTTGTCCAACTGACACTGCACAAAGCACTAAATACAGGCACATTGCAATATTGTATTTACATATAATATGTACATTGAAAAGCAAATTAGTTTTGTCCATGAAAATAAATACTTAAGAGTTAGCTGTGAGGGTGAGGATATGAGGATATTATCTAATGTTGAGGTTAGGTGGGGTTCTGGAGTTGGTCACAAACTGGTAAGCTAATTCCCATCTTCTGAGCATTGAACTATTGCATTGGTTCTTTGGCAATGATTTTAGAGCTTTTATGGTGAAACAGTCATCAAATAGAAGTTGGTGGGATAAGGCATGTTGTGCAACTGGTTTTTCTTTTATAATATTTAGTGATGGGCGGATCCAAGAAAATGTCGGTTCCGGATCCAGATACACACTGTCATAAGGGCGGGTTAAAAAAAACCTAATTAACAGAATGCCAATTTAAATCATACTGTTTAAAATTAAATCGGTAATGTTTAAAGGTTAATATATCTTATACACTGAGACATGGCCTTGCCATATAAGTTATTTGCATCAAGAGACAAACACTGAGTCATGGCCTAGCCATATAAGTTATTTGCATCTAGAGAAAAACATCGAGACATGGCCTAGCCATATAAGTTATTTGCATCTAGATACAAACACTGAGACATGGCCTAGCCATGCCATGTAAGTTATTTGCATCTAGAGACAAACATTGAGACATGGCCTAGCCATATAAGTTGTTTGCATCAAGAGACAAACACTCGGGAGAAAAACGGTCTTGTACATGGATACAGACAGCTTTATGTTAGTAAATACCCCCGCCGCAGCAAACCTGCAGACTAAGCGAATTTCCATTTGATTTACACTGAAATGTCTACTTAAAAATGCTAACGGACACATATATATATATATATAAATATATATATATATGAATTTGAACGGATGGTGTTTTTGGTCTCTAGGGACCTCGAAACGAAAAAAAAAATCGGTCCCGCGTCCAGGTCTTACCATGAGTACTACGGTAATAGCTTATTCCCTATATGGGAAATTCGCTAAAAAATCGGGGTTGTACAGTGATACAGACAGCTTTATGTTAGTAAACAAATCGGGGTTGTACAGTGATACAGACAGCTTTGTGTTAGTAAAATAATCGGGGTTGTACAGTGATACAGACTGCTTTGTGTTGGTAAAAAAATCGGGGTTGTACAGTGATACAGAGAGCTTTGTGTTGGTAAAAAAATCGGGGTTGTACAGAGATACAAACTGTTTTGTGTTAGTAAACAAATCGGGGGAAAATCGGTCTCTTACATGGATACAGATAGC